TGTAATTAATGTCTGAGAGGCAATGGATGAAGGCTTAAGAAGGACACAGCAGATTTATATAACTGCTATCGTTCATAGATCTATACTAGGACTATTTTCACAGTCGCTCCATAACTATTGTCTGCAAACGGATTTATTTTTCTGGCTGGTTAATGGTGATGCAGGAATTGGAGAGGAGAGTCGTACAAGCTTTTACTTAAGTCTGAATAGATAAGATCTCTATATCTGTGGCGAGACAGCGAAACTATGACAATATTAATATACGAGTCCTTTTGATTCAGTTCTGAAAATATATATGAGCCAAATCCATACAGCATAAATCCAATCAATAAAAAAAAAATTCAATATAGGTCATCAGTTCTTTTTTTGGTGGGATAGTGATACAATTTTCTCTCCAAAATCTTAAATCTAATAATTACAATGTATAATATTAATGCATGTAATGTAGTGTAATGCAATACGTATAAATACATCCAGTGATAATGTTAATGAGTCAAATTCTAATTCAAGTCATTTGTGGATTTTGTAAGGGGGTAGTTCCAAAGCATCAGATCTATTAACTAATGAAATATGGAGATAACGAACAGTATTCAAGCTCAAAGTCCATTAGACAATACAAATTGGGAGCAGAGCAAACACGGACCTCCAAAAACATCAGAGGTGGGATCAGGTGCCATGGAGGAGTGAGCATCCGCTGCCGTCAGGTCACACCCGCCGTGTGCTCTTTGTCGTGAACGGGAAAAACGAAAAAAAAAATCCGTAGACAATTCAGTGTGTAAATAATGGCCTAACAATTAGTATGAAAAACGTCAGTCAGCATTTGACTTAATGATAGGTATTTGCTGACAAGGTCATTGTATCGACCATAAAACTTAATATTAGATATGTGATTTTTTTCTTCAAAACTGCATTATTTTGTGTTCTCTAAATCATATCAACATAGAAGCTATTTTGATTGTAACTAAGCGTGGCGCAAACAATTTATAAGAAGAAAAATCAAAAGATTTCATCGTCAAACAAAGCAAGACTATTTCCACGTCTGAAATTGAAAATAAACAATCAAAATGAATAGTGAAGGGAGTATAAGTTGTTTGGATAGTCAATTAAAGAGTACAGTGGTATGACAAAGTATAGAACATTGGATATTTCATTTCCCGTGAATCTCTTGTTCTTTTGTCTAAAGCTATAATCTTTAAGTCGAATCTTAGATACCTCAATGTATTGCATTTATATAATTATATTTTAGTGCAATACTAAAGACACGGAACTTAAGGAAATTCTGATATGAAGAATCTGTTGATCATCCCTCTCTGAGATGACTGGAGAAATACAAGCATCTTCAATGGCAAACGATCAAAACTAGCCACGATTATTAAATTTCGTTCTGTATACTTGGCAGATAACTGTGCCTTTCCCGTATAGCCAAAGTGATTTTGAAAATTGCAACAACAACAACAAAATAAATAATAAAAAATAAAAATAAAAAAAAATTAAAAATAAAAAAAAAACTTTTAAAATTTTAAATGGCAAAAAATGTCAATGAATTTAATTATATCGAAGTTTGGAAACCTCCTAAGCCCCGACAATACATGTGTCATAAGAACATTTTGTTTTCAAATTCTAATTAGAATTAAGTTTTACAATATTCTATCATTTTAACTAAGTTAAAATTTAATGCTATTACCTGTTACATTCAATATCAACCAAGTAAGATTACAAGAGATAGAAGTATAACTTTGTCTGATGAATTAATATACAGAAGTGTTGGACCGAATGCCCAGTAAAATTTCAAAGTCCTTCGCTAACACTGTAATTTTAGTTACATTAATGTAATAAAATTCTGCAATTATATGAATTCTAAATATAATTTGAAGACAAGGTTTTCCTAATGAAAATAGTCATGTACAAATGTACTCATTAGCAATTGAAAATTGTTAATTAGTGAAAGACACGATGGAGCAAAATAATACGGGAGCACAGACATGCATTTCAGATATGGTCAGAGTTTAAACAGGCTCCAAAAGACACAAAGGAAAATCGTATTTTTTATCTATTCATCGAAACGTTGTCATAATAAGTGGATATTTAAAATCTCAATAATAATTATTCATGATATATTTTATTACCATCATGTTCGTGTACTATGTACTTGTCTTGACGTTCATCTAGAAATAAGCGATACTTTTATTGAGGAAGTAATTTATAAACTTTATCTTGTTTTATTCTCATATCACATCGTAAAAATACAACACTGACCCACTATCAATTGGAGATGTCTCACAGTTGACAAGATCTCATGAATTAATATTTTAATTTTTTTTAATGCTGAATATGTGCAATTAAATTTGATCAGTTAAAGCACACGAGATCCCTCTCTTTTGCAGCATTGATTAGAGCAATTCCAGTGTTTTATGGATCTAATAATTTCGCACGTAATAAATTTCTACCGAAAAGGGAAATTTTATAACTCTAATAAAAGTATCCGTGACGAGTGCCGGCTTTCTCAAAAGAAAGATCCACAGATTAATTCACAAAACCTTATCGTAGAAGAATTGATACCGGTATCACGCATGCGCATAATCTCTTTAAATTGAAGAATGATTTGAATGTGCAATTCGGCGGCTATTTCGATGAGATTTTTAGTACAGATATTAATTAACAAAGACTAACCTTGACCAATCATACGAATAAGAATCTTTTGCAGACGCCGGTCATACAAAGGGTAATTACCCGTTATTCCATGTTACATGCTTTTAATGTTTCTCGTGACTATAGAATTAAAACGTCCTGCAAAATAATCAATTTAATATTTTCAAGATATTTTTTTAAACCATGAATATTAGTTTATCAAGTTCAGTGATTAAAGGGAATTATATTTTTATGTTCTGAAGAAACGTTTCTTCATTTGTTCACACATCCTCTAGGTTTTTTTTTTTTTAAACAAATTTATTTTGATACCGTTGATCACAAAGCATTGGTCTTCCTCTCAATGTTTGTCATGAACAAAGTGCATTCTAAGGGGTTCTTGTACTTTGAAGTCGCTCAGTAGCTTAGAGAATTATTAAGAGTGCTATTATGACCATTAAAACATGTACAATTAGACTGTTTGAATGAATGATTGTATGTTGTTTTACGTACTATTCGATAATTTTTCACTCATCTAGAGACGTCATCATATACCGGTGAAGAGCTTCAATGTTAGAACTGTACTGAGCACTCCGGGCCATTGAGCAATGAGGGATCTTTACCAACGCCTACCGTGATACGGGACCTCGGTTTTTATAAGAACTCATCAGAAAGACTAGCAACTTTCACTTCAAAGTGCTAAGTGCTTGGCGAAAGAACAGTTGCTACCTTTTTATCGACTTAAGTCTGTCGCGATCGGGGCTTGAACCCACGACTTTCCGACCGACCGCTCTACCGACTGAGATACCGAGATTATTTGAAATATAACTAAGTTCTATTTCCCAGTTTTGTATGCCAGTCTCTTTCATTTAGAAGTTAAACTATTAAATTGTCAATTCTTCTCAATACGTAATAAGATGTGTTGTAATGTATTTTGGTATACCGGTATTAACAAACTATCTAAAAAATTGTAATTGTATACCTTTTTTAATGAACAACGTACTCAAGAAAAAAGAAAGTGAATGAGAGACAGCACTTGAATCGAACTTAGAACCTCAGAATGGAAAATAAAATCCACTAGGCAAGTGCAAAAGTCAGAATGCGAAACTACAGTTGATAGTCATCGTACTTTTAAAAAAAATCGATTTACTCTTAAAATAAAAAGTTGACTACAATCATGTAACAATTTCTCAAGAAAATTTAAACTTCAAATAGTAAATCCATAAAAGACAGTGGTGGATAGTGAAAAATCTCTTGAATGTTACAAGTACATGTAGCTATTCATTAAAAATAGATAAGCAATCCAAACCTTTATTTTCAAATACTGTAAAATCATTTATTTTTGAGGGGTCAAATTTTCATGGTTTAAGGAAAAAATTATTGGTTAGAGGGGATTTGAATTAGTGGTTAAAGGAAGACCACTGTACTGTAATACAAAGTTGTAACATTTCGTGGAGATTATGAATTCGTGGGTCTCTTCACACCACGAATACAACGAAAATCCCCCCTCCCCGAAAACTAGGGATTTCACAGTATATTAGTAATAAGACCTTCCATGAATGGCTGAAAATATGGATAAATACGTACATGTAGATCTACATGTACATGTAAAATAATACTTTTTCCATGTTGAATGACGTACCAAGGGGCACTTGTTGGATTTTAGGACGTTTTGTGAACGAATGTTATGTTATCTCAGACATAGGGCATAGAGAGAAAACAGATTGCACCTTAACCTAAGCAAGTTTTATTCACTTAGTTTCTGAAAATCGTTAGCAAATTGCCTCGCTTTCCGGGTGTTTACGCAGGTTTCTGATATTAAATTATGAACATTCATTATCAACGATTTTATTTGATGTCCAACTTGAATGATAAACCTAAAACTAAAAGGAGGTAATTCAATTTTTTCCGCCATTGTCTCCTAGGATATTACCATTGCTCTACAAACAACAATAATGTTATATATTATAGTCTAGATACATGTATTTTTGGCTGAAAAGATTGGATCTGAAGAAAAATGTTAGAAGTACTGTTGCAATAGATTTTAGCTTTGACATATTTGATGCAAATACGCCTTAAAATGTAGAGGTTTTAATACATGTACAGTCCGAGAGGACCTAGAGTTTCAAGAGCCTAAGTTTGTTCTCAAGCGAAATTATACTAAAAAATTTACTTTTGTTGTCCGACAGTTATCCGTGGAATATGCGTATATTTTTACTCACAAATAACCTGGAACACGAGTTGTTCTCTTGTCCCAGACGTGGAATTCCTTTTCAGGTATTAATTCTCAAAAAGATCTCTGAAATCAGAAAAAAATTGGAAAAAGAATTATGCAATCAATTTCTCCTTTTCTTTCTTTTTTTTTATTCACAGAGAGATTTTGAGACCAAAACAAAGGAAGTTATATCTACAGTATGATCATTCTAATCCAGTAGGCAACGTGATCGAAAAGTAATTTGGAAACCAATATATGAGACTGGAGATATTCCGGAAAAATTGATGTGTGTTCTTTCCCGCTGACAAGCTGGGGGTATTATGTGACAGCAAAAGGATATTGGATTTTGTCTTTTTGGAAGCGAGAAAAATAACTCACTCTGTTTACAGCCAGTTATATAACACTGAAGACTCTCCGTTTTGAGGAGGTAGAAATAGAGTACCGTCTGTGATCTGTTTGTGGGGATAATAATTAGAAGATAGGAAAATTCTTCTACTGTGTTTTTTGGTCATGAGGAGGGAGCTAATTCAATAGAAATGGAAGGAGGGAATTTAAAGTCCCAGAAAATGAAAATCTTAGTTTTCATCTTTATTCTTCTTCTGGAAAATTGTTCAGGCAATGTAAGTACGATTTTATATTTCTGATTTCTTTTTATGAAAGAAAATACATGTAGTACTCTTAAGGATGTTATTACCTTTTTGCATGACTGGATAATCAACGCAAATAAAATTTATAGTGGAAAGTATTTCTTTACTTTTGCAGACTTCGCCTTTAGAACTTCAAATGTTCCAGTACTGTTGTCTAATGATATATACTTGAAAATAAACTGTATGATTTACATCTAAATATCTTAATGGACACTAAAAATATAATCGACTGTTAACGCTTTATTGAAAGGGCAATAAAAAATTAGCTTAGACAAAAATAATTTCTGTTAAAAGAAAATGTAGAAGATGAAGAATAGTGATCAATCTCATAAATCATGTAAAGAAACGGAAACATGAACAGGGCAAAAACACGGACCCATAGAAATACTAGAGGTAGGATCAGATCCTAGGCGGAGAAAGCTGCTCCTGTCAACCCGTCGCATTCACCGCGGGTAAATGGAATAATCACAGTCAAAATTAGCTTGAAAGCAATACCATTCAGTTGGAATGAAACTAAGAACCAACAATGAATACTATTTGTAATCTAGGTTATCATAACGACCACAGAGTTTGCAAAATGCTGAATTTAAACGAGATTGTTGAAAATCCTGTAACATTAACTTATTTGTCATTAGCCTGCTGCTGTTCGAAATCTAATGACATTCAAAAATGCTCTCAAATACCGAATCAGTTAGAAACATAAATACAATATGCAGGTGATAGTGGAATATTACTACATAAATAGAAGAAGTTGACAATGGAAAAGCTGATGTCATCCTGTTTGTAATATATTCTAGTTCTTATTTGGTCATTAATCTATAGTCTCTAAAACTTGCAGATTTGATACATATGTGGCAAACACTGAATGGGTTTAATTTTGTGTTCACTGGTATACATATACGTATTGAATCGACAAACGAAAGAAAATACATGTAGCTATTGTACATAGATAAATCATAGTAGATAAAATTTAATGTCGAATCGAAGCAAAAATTTTCCCTCTCACGTAGAAGAATAAATTTTGCTTTATAAGAATAAAATAAGAATACAAAAACAGGTCTGCTCATAAAAGAGCACAATAAGTGTACCTTGGAATTCCAGGTTCTAAAAAGATTAATTTCCCGGGAAAATTACCTCAAATTTTGACACATATGTCAGTATACATGTATATGCATTACATGAACAAATTGGTAATTAAATTTGTTCATAAATATTCATCATCATAATATCTCAGATATTCACACGTAACATTGCTTCGATTGGACATCTTGATAGACGACCATCTTTTGAGTCGTTCATATCCAAACGATTTTTTAAATCAGTCTTGTTCCCAATCTCAGGTATTGTTTTTCTTCCCTACATGTATACATGGCTAGTCAAAGTGCATTTAAATAAACATAATTTACAAGTTATTCATGAGATCTTGAGGTTTCAAATTTTGCACTTTTCAAAATTCCAATAAATTTGTAAATAAATAACGTATTTTTATTCTTCGAAATCTAAATAAAATTTCCAAATAATATTTTGAAATTAGAAAAATTGCCACTGTATGCATGCACCGTAAGCTTTCTTATCGAAGTTGATGGGACAGAATAGGAATTTCTTGTTTAAAAGAAAGCCTCGACTATCAGAGGACGATAAGTACATGATCAAACCGATTAATGAACTATATTGTTAATTTCTTTTTAGTTGTTATGAAATGCATATACATGTATTCAAGTATATTGGAATTTTGTTGCTTAGTAAGATTTCTCAGTTATAATGACTGTGAAATGTCAGCCAGATTTAGATGACAAACTCGGATAAAGTTACTAAATGTGACATCATTTTTTTCAATATCTAAGCATGCTGGTGGGTTTCCTACGCCATTCTCTGCTTTTTCTTCGTTAAATAAGAGACACAGTATGATTTTCGCTATGGAATTTTCTTGCGTCACTCAGGTGAGCTATTGCTGTCCATTTTTATCCGTTCCATCCATAGTATGTCACAAATATTTTTTGAAAGATTTTCAGCTTCTCCTCTGAAAGGAATCAATCATTTTCAAATATTGGCATATAGGAACTATTGGCCAAAGGGAACCAAATTTCAAGTTTCCCACCCTTTGAGCTTGAGGAATGACGCCAAAACTATATCTTAATGCTTGCAAAATTCATATTTCTCCTAGATACTCCTGGAAAATTACATGTAACAGGAAAAGTCTTTGCATAATTATCATGAGCAGTTAGCCCGCTTTCAAAATTGTGAAATCCATGTCTCCTGGATCCACAGTTCAGTATTGGGCCAAGTTAGTCATATATTGAAAAATAATATAATACACATTTGAAAATCATCCTCCTTATTCAATGACACTTGGTAGGCAAATTCATGCATATAATGAACATTTATCCTTTTTACCAAAATTGTGAAATTCATATCCCTAGGTTGAAGGTCAAAGCCAAGGGCGGTGCTAAGTTGGTCATATATTAAAATGTATTAAGCCTTTGAAAAATGTGAAGGTAACGAACGGTGTCCAAGCTCATAAAGCAAGTAAACAAGACGAATGGTGAACAGGGCAGAAAAACAGACACTGGAAACACCAGAGATGGGATCAGGTGCCTAGGAAGAGTAAGCATCCCATCTAGCGGCAAATTGTTTGCATGATCATAATGGCAAGTTAACCGTAATACAAATTATGACATTCAAGTCCCCCGGATTCAGGATCCAAGGTGAGACTAATTTGTACATATATGTATATTGGAAATTTATTATATCTTTAAAATCCTCTTTACTTATGGGAATTTACCAAGGGGAAAAGATGCTTGATGACAAAAAACTATGGTCTCTTAACAAATCTGTAATATATATGTTCCCGGCTCTGGTGGTCCCAGGTTGGAGTTCATTTACTATCTAAAAATATACATGTATTTGTATAGAAATTGCATTGTTTCTCCAAAATCTTTTTCTGAGTATCTAAAAGTAAACAAGAAAACATTGATGTAACCATCAATTGTCGCCCGGGAAATAAATAAAGTAAACAATGGAAATGAGTCTTGATCATCAAACCGCTTCGATATGTGTGAAAAAGGCATGCGTCTAAATAATGGAGACGATAGTCGAGAATATTTTGAAAACTTATAGTCGGATGAAAATCGAACAAAAACGATACCCTTTTAAACTTTATCAATTCCTCAAGTAAATGTTGGCTGCATACAATATAATTTGAAACCAGACACATGCATCACCTATTTTCAAAAATGTCTTTCACTTTAAGAATATAAAACACGAACTGTGTAAAGTACATTGTTACGTTTTTATGCGATAAGTAAAATTCGATGTTCTAAAAAAAGGGACCTGTCGTTTTTTCGATAGTAAATGATAAGCAACTTTATATATTAAATATGAAAAACATATATATTTTTACAGATTCACTTTATGGAAGTAAATATATTGTGTATCTCGTAATTTATAAAGGGAAAGAACATTCTGATTAACAATCTTTTTAATGTTTAGAAAACTTTTAATTCTGAATAACTTCTCCCACCTCAATCCCCATATACCAACACTTAAACTTATATGTATAGAGCAGCCCGGTCCTCCGGGCTGCAATAATACTGGAACGTGATAATGAATGAAATAATCCTATACCAAGCTACAAATTTTATGAAACATGGTTTCAGAAATCATGTTTCAGGTGGTTCTGATTTAGGCTTAGCCTGGGCATTTCATGATACCTAGCTGACAGCAAAAGTCTAAAAGTAATTCCATGAATGGTATTGTCACAGATGTTAGATAATGAAAGAATGTTCCGTGATTTCTTTTAAAAACCTGATTCCCCTTTTACAGAATTGTTCTGATTTCAATTATATGTGATACAAAAATAGAAAGCAACAATACTTATTGTATTTTCACATTATATACCATTGTGATAATATGTAATGTATTTTCCATACAGATATTAGTTTTTTTTATGAACAGTGTTTTAAGAGTTTACTAGTACTTAAATAAAAGTGTGAACTTCTTTCCCACATACAAACAGTTTCAGTCTGATTGCAATACGATATGATTCCTAAGTAGACATCATCAAGGTGGATAATTATGTAAAATTCTAATAAAAAATGTTTAAAGTCCAACTATAATTTCTCTGTGAGTAATACATATCCTTTGAACACATCATAATTTGTATCAACCCGAGACACCAATATCAACCAGAGGGCCAAATCTCATTAGTGTAAATTTCAAACCTGAAGTTTGGCAGTTTTACCAGAGACTTGTGGTGTCATTGAGCTGCTCTCGAACCTTTCTAATTTCTAATCTAAATTCGTGATGGTCTCTTTAATTATTATTAATGTTGTTAAGGACGAGCGTGCGTGTCATTTATAATGGTTTCAACACCAGTTATGTTTCTAGAGTTTGTATTGTTGTTTTTCTTGTGATTATCTGAATTTCTGTAAAAGCGACACGATTTGTTTATTCTTTTGGCTATCTTCAAGCGTAATTTAAAAGCACTCGATAAAACTTCCTGAGGGTGGAAAATCTTAATATTTTTGTCTTTTTTCTTGTAAATGCTTGTAGTTCGTATATATTTAAAAAAGATATCTTTCGTGTATACTCTATTTGAAAACTTCTTTACAAAAAGAACGTATAACGGGTTTCTTTAGCGGGTGTTTTGCTTGCTCAAAGGTATGCCAACAATTTTGGCGGAACTTTTTTTGGTGGACACAGTACTATGACGTGGCAAAAGAAAGGAAATTCATCTTCTAGATGAGTTTTCAGTACGTTTAATATACGTTTAAATACAGATTTAATCAAGAGTTCGAGTAAAAATGAATACCGGATGAAAGGTATATTGTATAACAACAGACTATCGAAGTTATTTTCCTTGTGTACAGTACTTATACGCAAGGGTGCAAATTTAGCGATTAAAATTTAGCGGCCTACTTCAAAACCGCTAAGATAAGCCAAAGTTAGCACCCCGCTAAAAATTCCAGCCATAC